GGGAGAATTGTTCTTCGTCCTTTGGAGCTTTAGATGACTATTCACAATTTTCAGGCTTGAATCTATATCTTAGTGTAAACTGCCTTGCTTTTCCCTTTTAGTACCTGTTCTTTCTCTCTCATTCCCATCTCCAGTCAAAGATGGGATTGTTGATTGAACTCTAGAGAGGGACCAAGTCTTTCTGTCCACATCTCACGAAATTGAATATGTCTTTGAATAAGTTTGGGGAGGGTCTATAAGGGGAAAGTTTAGAGAAACCTTTGCAGAGGCAGTTTTGCCAACCCAAGGGCTTTCAAGCCGACTTTCACAAAGGGAGCCGGTCTTATTAGTTGGCTTCTGTCTCTTTTAGAGCCAGGAAAGTAGTAATTAAGTAGCCTAGATGTAGGAAGGGTAGAATAAGCACTTATTCCCCTCCCTACCAAAAGGAAGAGAACCTGGACACCTCAGTAGTCTCAAGCCTGAAGAGGAGAGGTCTTGGAGAAAGCAGAGGACAGCATGGAATTGATAGATGTCTTGACTCCCTTCAGCCACAGCCTGCAATCTGAAGAATCCAACTAGGGTAACCCTGATTTTGACAACCGCCTTCCTGCTGAGCCAAAGTTTTCTCATTCCCCCTCCACTGGGGAAGCAGCTGAGGTCCAGGGCCTTGCTCCCTGGGAAATTCTCTGTCCATCTTTCGGTGCATTGGCCATGTTACTGTGCCAATAGTGTCTTAATTCTTATCCCATCTATTCTCAGCTGGTCTTGGAACCCACATAGGATTTAATGAGGGGGGGGGTGGGATGGGTATTCTTCCTGTGGTTGGTCCTAATGTTACATGTATTATATAAAGAGACCCTCTCCCCTTATTTTGTGTTTTCCATCCCTCTCACTACCCCCCCCAACAGGATTGAAATAAAACGTGCTTCTGTTTTTATAAAAATATTTTTTTCCTTTTAACTGGAGATTTAATTCTGACAACATAGAGATAGCTAAGACATGTTGGTCAGGTGATTCATGTTGTGCCACACGCTCAGTCTGCCTACATATACTACATATACACTGCTAAGAGGGCAGTGGCAGTGATAGTTCTTTTTTGGACAGGTTATTGAGGGGTCTAGAAGACTACAGCTGATGTACAAATCTGAGAAGCTGAGATGGTACCCTTTATCTGAAAAACTGTTTCTTGCAGAGACAGAACCTCACCTCCAGCTTTCAGGCCAGTGACAGATTTCTGTAAGTGAAGAGGTAATGCTTGAAACACTTATTATGGACATCAATTTTTATCTCCTCTGGAGTTCAGAGCTTAGAGCCTGTCTTAAGAGTTGTTCTAGCTAGGCACAGTGGCTCATGCCTGTAATCCCAGCAGCTTAGGAAACAGGAGAATCACAAGTTCAAAAACAGCCTCAGCCACTGCGAAGCACTAAGTATCTTGGTGAGACCCTTTCTCCAAATAAAACACAAAATAGGGCTGAGTTCAATCCCTGGTAGCCAAAAAGAAAAAAAAAAAAAGTTGTTCTAATACTTGGCCTATTGGTAGGATGCATTCTGCTCCTGTTTCCAGCTTTTTTCCAAGGGCTTTAGAGGGCTTATGACCATGTTGGGACAGGGAAAGGAGAGGAGGCATCACTTAAATTTCAGAGCATGCCTTCCCCACTGTCTCCATAGGATTCCCCTGTTCACTATCCCTGCTGCTCACAGGTTAGGAAAAGGGAGACATACAAATTTGTTGCTATCAAAAAGCCCAAGTGGGGCTAGGGTTGTGGCTCAGTGGTAGAGCACTCACCTAGCACGTTCGAGGCCCTTGGTTCAATCCACAGCACCACATAAAAACAACAATAAAGATATTGTGCACATCTAAAAATAAATATTAAAACAAAACAATGGGCTGAGGATATATCTCAGTTGGAAGAGTGCTTGCCTCGAATGCATAAGGCCCTGACTGGGTTCAATCTCTAGAACTCACTCCCACCCCCCCAAAAAAACATGGATGGCCAGGCAAGGTGTGCATGCCTGTATTTCCAGCTAGTTGGGGGATTGATGTAGGAGGATCACAAGTTAAAGGTTATCCTAGCAACTTGGTGACACCTATCAAAATTTTCAAAGAGCTCAAAAGGAAAAGTATTCCTGGTTTCAATCTCCAGTGTGGGGGCAGGGGAAGGAGGGCTGAGGGCATAGTCCATCAGTAGAACACACACTTACTCTGCCAAGGCATTGGGGTTCCATCCTCAGAATCAAAAAAGGAAACATTTGAAGGAACCATAGAGTGAAATGAGATCTTTTTTGCCCTCCTGATACAGTGTGGAATTTAATTTTTTGGAGAAGTATTTTGATACATTTATTTCAAAAGCAGAAATAACAGGCAGAAATTTTTAGTTATACACTTAACCTCGTTTAACTGACATACATCAAACACTGCACTCTTAACCAAGAGCATGCATATTTCACCTATTTTTTTTTTTTATGTGATGCTGATAATCGAACCCAAGATCTCGTGTGTGCGAGTCAAGTGCTCTGCCGCTGAGCCACAACCCCAGCCCTGCATTTTTTTTTAAATTGAGCCTAAAGCATGTACAAGAATTGATCATAACTGGACCATCAAGTAAGCTTTAAAAAATTCAGAACTGAAACCATAGACTGCAGTGGGATCAAGCTAAAAAGAAAGAACTGGAAAGTCCCTCTTAGAATTTAGGCATTATGATTCTAAACCTGTGGGTTAAAGGGGAAAAAAAAAGGTCATAGGAAATGAAAGTATTTTGAATTAAATTGATAATGAAGACATTATCAGAACCTGAAGCATTTAGCATTTAGGTAGTGTTTTTTGAAGTATATAACCTCATAGTCACACATTACAGAAAAAGAAAGGCTAAAGCTGACTTCATGTCAAAAAACTGGAAAAGAATAACATTCAAAAAGTAGGAGTCAGGTGCAGTGGTGCATGCCTTAGTCGAAGCAGCTCAAGAGACTGAGTCGAAGCAGCTCAAGAGACTGAGTCAGGAGGATCATGAGTTTTAAAGCTAGCCTCAGAAACTTGGTGAGACCCTAAGCAATTTAGCAAGACCCTGTATCAAAAAGGGCTGGGGATGTGGCTCAGTGGTTAAGCATACCTGGGTTCAGTCCTAGAACCAAAAATAATAATGTGAAATAGAAGGTACATAAAAAATTAATAAAGTGAAGTGAGTCCCTGGAAAACATCAATAAAATTGATAAGCCCCAAGTAGGCTGGTGAAAGTAAAATAAATAGCGTTAGAAGTGTAAGTAGTGCTGGGGATATAGCTCAGTAGAGTGCCTGCCTCACATGCACAAGTCCCTGGGTTCAATCCCCAGCTCCACATACACACACACACACACACAAAAGTAAAAAGTACATTGCTTTTATCTTAGTCACCAATCTTTTGTAAGTTCCCAGAAAATAGAAAAAAACAGATTGCAGTTCATTTGTGAAGAATCATTATCCAGCCACCTTAAACCTTCTCAGTAACATGATTACAAAAACCAGGGTCCAATCTCTATTGTGGAGATAGGCAGAATCTACATACACAAGCTGTTGGCCAGGTTAAGGCAGAAGGATCAAGAGCTTTAGACCAGCCAAACTCTGGGACTCACATGTAATTCCAGAAACCTGGAATGTTGAGGCAGGAGGATTGCAAGTTCAAGGCCAGCTTCAAGCAATTTAGTAAGACCCTGTTATCAAGGGCTGGAGTTGGAGCTCAGTATAAAGCACTTGTGAGGCACGGGGTTCAATCCTTAGTACCACATAAAAATAAATAGACATTATGTCCAGATACAACTGAATATGTATACATATATTTGTATATATACATATGTATATGTATACATATATAAAAACACATATTACAAAAAATAAAAAGGACTGGGGATGTTGATCAGTAAGAGTGCACTTGGGTTCAAGCCCTACTACTGCCAAAAAAAAAAAAAAAACAGCATGAGATCTAATTTAGATTTATTTAAAAATCAAGATCAAGGCTGGTGTTGTGGCTCAGTGGTAGATGCTTGCCTAGCACGTGTGAGGCACTGAGTTCAATTCTCAGCACCATATAAAAATGGATAAAATAAAATAATGGCATTGTGTCCATCAACAACTAAAAAAAAAAATTAAATATATAAGATCATTAGCCAGGCATGGTGGCACATATCTGTAATTCCAGTGGCTCAGAAGGCTGAGGCAGGAGGATTGCGAGTTCAAAGCCAGCCTCAGCAAAAGCAAGGCACTAAGCGACTCAGTGAGACCCTATATCTAAATAAAATACAAAATAGGGCTGAGGATGTGGCTCAGTGGTCAAGTGTTCCTGAGTTCAATCCCCAGTACCAAAAAAATATATGTAAGATCAATTCAGTACTTAACCAATTAATGCAATTCACATAGTCAACATAAAAGGCAAAAGATCACACAATACATGAAGAACACTACAAAATTTAACACTTATCCATGATATTTTTAAAAAGAAACTGGATAATATAACTCAGTGGTAGAGCATGGGTTTAACAGGCTTGAGGATTTGCACTTGATCCCCAATACTGGAAGGAAAAAAAAATCACTTTGAAAACCAGGAATAGAAAGATAGAAAGTTATATTCTTAATCTAATAAGTATCAACAGCTGAATTCAGTGGCTCACACGTGTAATTTTAGTGTTGAAGCAGGAGGATGGCAAGTCCCAGGCCCCCCTCCACAGTTTAGCTTTTTCTAAAAAGCTAAAAAAGGGCTGGGGGTATAGCTCAGGGGTAGAACACCTCTGGGTTCAAACCCCACTACTGCAAAAAAAAAAAAAAAAGTATTATGATCATTTCATGAGGTAGCTATGTCATTAACAGACCAAAGTTTGTATTTTTCCACGATGTCTTTTTATTGAATAACAATTCACAGGTTATACTGCTTTCAGTGCTAATGAATACTCATGGATCATCTGATAGTCATAAACCAGGCAAACATAGAAAAGTCTTTTATTCCAATTTTAATTTCTAATATCTAGAACTCTAGTCACACATCATACTTCACACAATGAAATTATATACACACATATATGCCACAGAAAGACTCAAATTGCCATTCTTTTTTCCAGTTTTTTTTTTTAAGTTGTAGATGGACACAATACCTTTATTTATTTATATGTGGTACTGAGGATGGAATTCACACATTCGAGGCAACCCCAATCCATAGCGCCTTGCTTTTGCTGAGGCTGGGTTTGAACTTTCGATCCTCCTTCCTCAGCCTCCCTAGCCTCTGGGATTACAGATGTGTGCCACTGTGCCCAACTCAGAAATAAGATTTTAATGAGCCAGTCCCATAAAGTTGTCAAAACAGAGGGTCTAGACTGACAGTTTCAGAGTGTCAGCTTGGAGTGGGCCATGCATGGTTATCACAGGCAGGAGAAAAAGTGCTTTGCTGAAACCCAATGGAAAAGAAAATTCAAGCTTTGTCGCTGTGGTGATTTTCCTGGTAAGTGACCTGGTGACAGAATCAGGGTGCCACCATGTCCAGTCTTGGAGAGGCTCCTCCTTTTATGGGTCTTAGGTGAGGGGGTTGTATATGGTGATGTTGATAAGCTCCAGTGTCAAGTGTTCTTAATGTGATTTGGGATGTCCACAGGTCCAGGCACTCCTTAATTTAGTTTGGTAAGTTAGCACATATAAGCTATTATAAAGGAAAAAGATGAACAAACAAACAAAACCTCAGTATGTGCTGACAAATGGTTCTGTACATATATTATCCAAAAGAATCTACAGCTGGGCATGGTGGAGCATGCCTATTATCCTGGGGGCTTGAGAGACTGAGGCTGGAGAATCACAAATTTGAGGGCAGCCCAGGCATCTTAGCAAGACCCTGTCTCAAAACAAAATAAAAAGGGCTGGAGATGTAGTGGTAGAGCAGCCCTGGTTTAATCTCTAGTACTAGGGGGGGAAAAGGAAGAGGAGGAGGAGGAGGAGAGAGGAAGAGAAAGGAGGAGAATCAATATCAATATACTCTCAGAATTAATAACTGAAGCAAAGTTAACAGAATCACAAAATACAAAGTCAATATACCCAAAAAATCAATTACATGTTCCTGAAATACAATAAATAGAAAATGATATTTCAAAGATATATAGTGTATAGTAGCATAAGAAATCAAGTAGTTAGAAATAGGTATGTCAAATGATGTAAGAACCTTTTAATGAAAAACAAATATTCTGGAAAGAAAGTAGAGACCTATAAAAATTGAAGGATAAATCATTTCCAAGGATTGTAAAAAAAATATTATACAGATGCCCAATTTTTCAAATTGATCTGCTGGCTAAACAATTCTAAGTAAAATTTCAGCAGGTATATTTTTGTGAAAATTGACATATTCTAAAATCTGCAAGAACAGCCAAGATAATCTTGAATTTAAAAAATTGGAAGCTATGTGTTCTGGTGCATACCTATAATCCCAGTGATTCAGGAGGCTGGGGCAAGAAGATCATAAGTTTGATGAAACTGCAACTTGGTGAGATCCTGTCTCAAAATATAAGGGCTGGGTATGTAGTTCAGAGGGTTCAATCCCCAGTACCAAAAAAAAAAAAGTGGAGTCTTACTATTCCCAAATATCTTTCTTTAATTTCCTTTAACTTTCAATCTTTTTGTAGAAATAACTTATAAAAAACATATGCTAGCTTGGCTTGATGGATCATACCTGTAATCTCAGCTTCTCTGAAGGCTGAGGCAAGAGAAAAGTTCAAAGCCAGCCTGGGCAATTTAGCAAGACCTTGTTTGAAAATTAAAAGGGCTGACGGGGGATAGGTGATAGCTCAGGGGTAGAGTACCCCTCGGTCAATCCCCAGTACTGTAAAAATAAGCAAAAAAAAAAAAAAGTATCTACTTATATTTTGTTTTATGATCTTTTCTGAAAGTTAAATTTCTTGGCATGGAATATTATATCATTTGTACTCTTAATTTTGCCTTCTATCACCCTTATTCTCTAGTATTTTTGGTTTGTTATTGTTGTTTTGTTTGGGGTTTTTTGTTTGTTTTGTTTTGTTTTGTTTTGTACTGTATGTTGAGCTCAAGGGGCACTTTACCACTAAGCTATATACCTAGGTCTTTTATTTTTTATTTTGAGACAGAGCTTTCACTAAGTTGCTGAGACTGGCCTTGAATTTGCAATCCTCCTGCCTCAGTCTCCTCTCCCGAGACACTGGTATTACAGGTGTACACCATCACACCTGGTTCATATTTATGATTTTAAAATGGAATTTGATATTTTGAGTTACTTTTTTGACCACCATTCATTTCAGAAATTTGAGTAGTTTGGCTGAATAGTCTGGGGAATTTGCCTTAAACTTTCAGCTGGAATGTCCTAAGAAGCAAAGGTGTTTATGTATGATGTCATTTGCCCTAAATGTCTAGAGGAGGGTCTAGGCAGGTCTGAGTGACGGAGGAAGAGTACTGTGTTTAGGTCTACCTCTGCCAGCTGCTGCTTCATTTCAGTTTAGGCCTTCTAGGCCTTTCCTGGGCATTGTTCCCAGAAAGTCCCTCTGCTACTGCTGCCCTGCTCAGGTTTCTGAATCTGTTAATAATAGACATCAGTGGGGGGAAGGGCCAGGATCTTTGCAGAAATAGGAATTACCAAACCAGATGGACAGTTCCTGTGCCTGCGGCCATCTGTTCTCTCTCTGGATTTAATGAGAATCATGCCTACTTTCTAAGGGCATTCCTTCTAAGCAGTCTTGGGAGCCATTTAACTTTGTGAAAGTCCAAAAATCAGATCCATGGACTGTGGAGTACTGGTGTGTTAATGAGGATGTTGAAATTTAATATTTGAAATCTATGCTCTCCCAGAAAATCCAGGATGTGTGATAGCATCCCTCACAGATCACCCAGAACGAAAGGAGGTTGTGCAGCATTGAGCTGATAATGACTCAGAAAGACACAGATGAATATAATCCTGGGGTTAAAAGAGGAGTGATATAAAAGAGGGGGGATATGAAGGTGAAGCTCAGAAAAAGGAGATAATGATGTCAAGCAAGTAGGAACGAGAAAACGACAAGCATGGAAGACAGGGTCTATATTAAGTCAAATCTGAATTCGGCACAGCTCACATTTTGACACCCCTATTCCCTAAGAATGGTCTCCCTTTTAATGCCTCCCCTCCCTTCATTCTCTCTTCCCCTATCAGTAAAGAGCATGAGCAACTTAACCTAGGTATAAATTATTTAAAACCATGAAGGCTTCAAAAAAAATTGCAAAGTTTAAAAACCTTTATTTGCAAAATATAACACAGATATAGAAAACTACATAAAGATAATGTCTGGCTTAGTAGTTATTATAAAGTCCCCTGTTAGCACTCAAGACTAGAAGTAGAATTTAGCCAGCTATTTCAAAAGCCAGTTACGTGCTTCATCCCATCACAACACCTTCTTCCTCTCTATTTTATGGCTATTACTTAGGAGGATTTTATTTTATTATTTTTTTTAGTTGTAGATGGACAAATACCTTTATTTTGTTTATTTTTATTTGATGCTGAGAATTGAACCCAGGGCTCCACACATACTAGGCAAGCGCTCTACCATTGATCCACAGGCTCAGCCCTGAGGATTTTATTTTAATGGTGCTAAAAGTTTAGCTATAAATAACCACTAGTGGAAGAATATTAGGCAGTTGAAAGATGTTTGGGGGAACCACAAGAGACAGCCTGATCTCAGCACACTTGAATCCCACTGTTTCACACAGCTGATTCCCTCTGTGGCTATGATTAAAATACACCTCACCGAAAAAGGATCTCATAGACATTCAAGTACAGGGCTCTGCCCTGTTCCCTTAACTGCCTTATGGTCATCCATTGGTCCAGAAAGAACCATATCCCACTGTCTTCCAAAGACAGATCAAAAGCAGATCTTAGCTCACAGTGTTTGGGATTCGTGATGGGGCTGGTTGTCTCCATTGCCGACACAGGAGTCTAGGTCATTGTGTAAACTTCCATGGGCTTCAGTTTCTCATGATCATAAAGCTCTTTACAATTCCCTGTTCCTGTCCTAATCCTCTTTCCTCATTCTTGGTTTTTGTTTCAACTGCCATGTCAGCCACTCTTGTAAGGAGCTCCTCACCCTTCTTTCCTAGTGAGTATCTTTCTGGCCTGTACTCCTTGCTGCTCTGGGTTCTTCACATCATGAGCCAGCTTCATCTCTACTCACCCCTTTGTAAACATACACATATGACCTGGCACTGGACAGATGCTTGTAGAAGGAATGAATAAGTGTAAAGAAAGAACAGGTGTGCCAGGCTCAAGAGCTGAGGCAAGAGGATCACAAGTTCAAAGCCAGCCTCAGCAACTTAATGAGGCCCTATGCAACTTAGCGAGACCTTGTTTCTAAATAAAAGAGCTGGGGATGTGGTTCAGTGGTTAAGTGCCCCTGAGTTCAATCCCTGTTGAGAGAGAGAGAGAGAGAGAGAGAGAGAGAGAGAGAGAAGAAGAAGGAGGAGGAGGAGGAGGAGGAGAAGGAGAAGAAGAAGGGGGAGGGGGGAGGAGAAGGTGAATTGTTTCACATATTCATATATGCATTTTTTTTAATGAGAGAGAGAATTTTTTTAATATTTATTTTTTAGTTCTCGGAGAACACAACATCTTTGTTGGTGTGTGGTGCTGAGGATCGAACCTGGCGGCACGTACGCAAGGCGAGCGTGCTACCAGTTGAGCCACATCCCCAACCCAATACGTGCATTCTTTTAAAGAAATTCCTTTGAATACCTTAAATATACATAAACACTACCTGCCCCCCTACACTCCATGATCATTCCTCTCCTTCCTTTCTCCTCATCTTCCTCCTTTCCCATCCTGTTTCTTCCTATTCCTGTGCCACAGAGTTAGAACTAGTGCCCTGCAAGGCAGGGGGCAGAGACATAGGAGCAAGCCGATAGAAAGACACTGTGGAAAGCAGCCAGATGAAATGAGGGCGAAAGCAGCTGTGTTACATGCAGAGACCGGTCAGAATGAAAAGCTGAGATTCACGGAGCACTACAATTCAGACATTCCTTGGGTTTCATTTTGAGAGCTTCTGCCGGATTGGGGCCATGGAGGGAGGTACGGGATCAAGATAAAAAACAGCAGCCAGGCTTTTCCTCTCTGGAGATGGTTGTCAAATCCATCTCAATCCTTTTCTCTCACCCCACCCCCACCTCGAGTAACTGGTGTCCTGGGCCTTTAAGAGTTGAATGGGCTGGACTGAGAAAAGTGCTCCCACCTCAAACCACCCTACTCTTTTCCTTGGACTCTAAGGGATTGTAATGCTGCCAGTCAGAACAGCAGACTGCAGTAGAAGAGGGAAGGAAGCAGGCGAGAGCAAAGGAGAAAAGGAGCCAGGCTGGGATTTCTTACCTCACGGTGGAGATCAACACAGAGCTCAGGTGGGCACAGCTCATAGACAAAAGACGGCTATCCTGCCCAGGTAAGGGCCAGGAGGCTTGATCAGACTCTGCCCATGCTCTGCCCTACATGACTGCCTTACTTTGCTCTTCTGATGCTTACTTGCCCTGACTTTCCTCACCCCAAAGGCTCACAGTGCTGCCTCCACCTGGTTCTCTCCAGTGCGTCTTCCTCTTTGACTTTTCTAGTTTTTGCCTGGTGTCAACACTCCTTTTAAGAAGAACCTCTTAGCTATCCAAGGCCAGGAGTGCTGACCCTAGCGACTTCTCAGAGGTGAGTCCACCCCAATAAGAGAAGAAAGAACTGGAGTAGACAAGTTGTAGCAGAGACTTATTAATGGATCCTTGAGAGTTTCCAAAGGAGAACTGGTCAAGACCCAGGGAGAAGCAGAAAAACTCCTGGTAGCAAGGAGTTATGAGACTTCTTAGGAAAGAGGCAGGTTTGAATTCTGTGCCTTGTTCTTCACCTGCTTAGGTAGCTAGGACAGTTTCTTGGTACACCAGAAGACTGTACCCTGGGACTTTAGACCATAACTTTTTTGATCTGTATTAGGAGAAAGTTTAGGGCTCCCCAGACTTGCCTTTGTACCAGATATGCTAGTTTAAAAAAATATATATATATATATTGGGGTTGTAGCTCAGTTGGTAGAGTGCTTGCCTCACATGTACAAAGCCCTGGGTTCAATCCCCAGCACCACCACCAAAAAAAAAAAAAAAAAAAAAAAAAAAAAATATATATATATATATATATATATATATATTACTGAGCCCCATCCTTGGAAATTTTGATCTGGTAGATTTTGGGGTGGGAGCTAAGGATTCTCTATTTTAAGACACTTTCCCTGGGACATTGAATTATCTGTGAAACCCTGGTTTATATGTGCTATGAAAGAGCCTTCAAGTTCTAACATTCTGAGAGCTGTGACCTGTGACTAGAGCCATTCTATCCTTTTTACATGGCATAATCCTAGACATAATCCATGACATAAGGCTAGACATAATCTTCTCAGAAGCAAGGGAATAGTCAAAATGATTGTCTTTCTTCCTGCCCCTCAGAGAGAATTGAGACATCCTGATTCCTAGTGTAATGTCATTGGCACCAATGGCGACATTGCCAAAGTCCGTCTTTAGGTGACATGAAGACACTTGGGAGTTGAGGACTAAATCTTGTTCTGCAGCCCAAGGTTACTTCCCATCTTATTTTACGTGTCTTTTGTCATACCTGTAGTATCCAGGCAACTATCTGTATCCTCTAAGGTCTCCACATACATGTCTAAGAGATAACATTGAAAACCTAATCTTTCTTACTGTCAGTTTTCAGTCTCTGTGCCCTTAAGTGCCCCCACTCACAAACCCTTGGTTCCTTTTCTCCACACTGCACCTGCATCAGCTGTAAAATTCTTTCCTTTCAGACACAGAAGAAACTCCAAGACCTAGAACACTAGGTTCTAACTCACATTCTCTGAGCACTTTGTTTAGTCAATCTCCTAGGATACAGGGAAAAGTGACGCTGAGCAGAGGGATATGCTACTGAGTGTCCAAACTCAAGTGTCCTTCCTCCTGGACCATAGTCTCAAAATCCTCAAAGGAAATGATAATCAGAACTATTGGCAATTAGTGGAGACAGAGGAGGGAAGTGACAGGAAGAGGTAATGAAGAGGCGAGAAGAGGAGAGCAAAAAGAGGCTGACCAGAAGAGAGAAGAGTGAGCTGGGAAGAAAGGGAAAGGATGAGATCAGACATGGGATGGGGAAAAGAAAAGCTATTTTATGGGATACAAGAGGAACAGAGGATGATGAAGAGGAGAGATTAAACATCAGCATCTCTCACTGATCCCTAACCTCACTTTGACCTGCTTTCTGGAACAAGGCAGAGTTTCAGCAAGCTCTCTGATTGGTTATATGGAGACCTCGGTTCTAGTCCCAGTTTTGCAACTCAACTAAATGACCCCAACAGATCCACCAATCTTTCTAGTACTCAATCCTCCTCTGTAAAGAATGAAGTCCAGTTCTGACATTCTGCAGCTCCTGAATTAAAGCTGGTGCTCTTATAGCCATAGTCACCTGGATACAGGTTTAGAATAATAATTCGGGAATGGGCGCAAAGTTAGCTAGGGTGAGGGAGAGCAAGCCCCAGGGTTTGACAAAGGAGGGTTTCCTAAGGCTGGTTTGAGAGGAAATAGTCTATCAAATAAGGGTGTCTAGGCAGAGGACCTAGACCTCTAGGTTTCTCGTGCTGTAGGACATTATTGAGGCTCCTGATCAGAGGTATAAATGAAGGTAGTTCTGTCTTCTCCCAGGCCCTAGCTCCACCCCAGAGTCTCTATGCCCCACAGATGGGAGCTGAAGTTCAAAGAGAGGCAAAGGCAGAATGATACCACTGAAGATTATACTTCAACCTTGACCTTTAAGAACTTTAAGAGAGACCTATCACTTTCTACTTCAATGTTGATTTAACTTCTGTTAGTTTCAGATTATTTCATACTGTGCTTCTCCACCTGGATATGGAGATAAAAATCTCTCTCTGTCTTTCAGGAAGCCCTGGGAATCCCTTCCTCTTTTCAGAGGTTTCTTCTGATCTTACCCAAGACACACAATAGCCAGCCTTAGCCAGAAAAATATCTTATTCTTGCAACTGTCACAGACTGTTTTTCTCCCAAGAAACTTCTTCCCAACATTCCCTCTTCAATCTGTTACCTTTTTAGAAAGGCATCTTTAAGTCCTGTAGATAGGGCATTTTCAGTGATCTCCACCTTCTCCCTGAATACCTAATCACTTTAGAGTGACTTTATAGGTGGTTCTTCTCATCAAAGAGAGACAGAATTCTAATATGCTGTGTGACCTCAGACAAGTCACATCACATTTCTGAACCTCCTTCTTTATTCCTCTATAAAATCTGGAGTAGCTTATATATATTTTTGTTTCTTTTTTCTTTTTTCTTGGTACCAGGGATTGAACTCAGGGGCACTCAACCACTGAGCCTCATCCCCAGCCCTATTTTGTATTTTATTTAGAGACAAGGTCTCACTGAGTTGCTTAGCACCTCGCCATTGCTGAGGCTGGCTTTGAACTCTCAATCCTCCTGTCTCAGCCTCCTGAGCCACTGGGATTACAGGCATGGACCACCATACCCTGCTTATGTTGTTTGTTTGACAATACTGGGAATTGAACCCAGGGGTGCTCTACCACTGATCTGCGTCCCCAGTCCTTTTTAGTTGTAGGTGGACACAATACCTTTATTTTGTTTATTTAGTTTTTTTAATGTGGTGCTGGGGATCAAACCCAGTGCCTCACACATGCTAGGCAAGCGCTCTACCACTGAGCAACAACCCCACACCCCCTTTTTTTTTTTTGGTACCAGGAATTGAATCCAGGAGTGCTCAATCACTGAACCAGCCACATCCTTAGCCCTTTTATTTTTTATTTTGAGACAGGGTCTCACCAAATTGCTGATGGCTCCACTAAGTTGCTGAGGTTGGCTTTGAACTTGCAATCCTTCTGCCTCTGCCTCTCAAATCTCTAGAATTACAGGCATGTGCCACCATGGCAGCATAGCAGTATTTGCCCCAGATTTTTTTTTTTTCTGATGCTGGCCTTGAATTTATGGTTCCCTTGCCTCAGCCTCCTGAGTAAGGTTGTTTTAAATGTTCATCACTGTCAAAAGTTATTTTTTTATTTTGGTATTGGGGATTGAACCCAGGGTTGCTTAACCTCCTGCCTCAGCTACCTGAGGATAACAGACATGCACTACTATGCCTGGAAAAAAAATTTTTTTAAAGAAAGAAAGAGAGAGAGAGAGAGAGAGAGAGAGAGAGAGAATTTTTTAATATTTATTATTTAGTTTTTGGCGGACACAACATCTTTGTATGTGGTGCTGAGGATCGAACCCGGGCCGCATGCATGCCAGGCGAGCGCACTACTGCTTGAGCCACATCCCCAGCCCTGGCAAAATTTTTAAATGTTTTAATTAAGAAACACAAAGTGCTTCTATTCAAGTGTAGGTCCTTTGTTCATTAGAGAGAGAGAGAGAGAGAGAGAGCGCTCTTTATGTTTCATAAGCTTTGTCAAAACAATCTGGTCAAGATTGAATATGTTTATGGGGTAGTACTAGAATCAAAGTGGCCACATATTAAATATTGTTAGGTTTTTTTTGTGTGTGTGCATGTGTGTGGTACTAGGGAGTAAACCTTATGGGTGCTAGGCAAGCACTCCACCAGAGCTATATCCCCAGCCATTTTTAAAAATAGTATTTTGAGGGCTGGGGCTGTGGCTCAAGTGGTAGCACACTTGCCTAGCATGCATGAGGCACTGGGTTCGATTCTCAGCACCACATAAAAACAAAATAAAGATTTTGTGTCCACCTAAAAGTAAAAAATAAATTAAAAAAAATAGTATTTTGAGACAGGGTCTTGCTAAATTGCCTAGGCTGGCCTCAAACTTACAATCCTCCTGACTTGGCCTCCTAACTAGCTAGGATTACAAATGTGCTACTGTTCCCAGTGCTTCTAGTTCTTTTAAAGGGAATTTTGTGTTAGCAACTAGGACAGTTTAGCCAGCATATAAATTGGGTAGCATATATCTTAAAGGATGTGCCCTTTTTTTAGTAAGTAGAGAAAACTTGAAAATGTAATTCCAAGGGCTGGGGATGTGGCTCAAGCAGTAGCGCACTTGCCTGGCATGCGTGCAGCCCGGGTTCGATCCTCAGCACCACATACAAACAAAGATGTTGTGTCTGCCGAAAACTAAAAAATAAATATTAAAATTCTCTCTCTCTCTCTCTCTCTCTCTCAAAAAAAAAAAAAGAAAATGTAATTCCAAGACTTGTGTAACTTAATCACTCCATTAAAAACTGTGAGAATAACTGCTATGTAAAAGAATATAAAACATGCTCTACAATGTGAAGGCAGAAAAATACAACTAAGTGTTATAGCAGAGACTCAAGAAGTACTTTCTGTCCTAGTTCTTCAGGAGCCAGACAGGGTTTCCAGAAGAGGAGGCTGGGATGATTCTTCCTAAAGAAGAGACAGCTAGGGTGTGGGGAGATTCCAGGTTCTGAAAGGGGTCACCAGCAAGATGAGGATGTGAGAATAAGTGTGGAGCAAAGCTACTTAGTGGGTTGTAGGTGCCCTTGTTTAGCCTTTCCTAGGAATAGTCATGGGAAAGAGCAGAGGCTCTGGGAAAAGATATATCTGATTTTAAATTCTGATCTTTTTAAAAAAATATTTTTAGTTGTTGATGGATCTATATTTATTTATATGCAGTACTGAGAATCGAACCCAGTGCCTCACAAAAGCTAAGCAGGCTCTCTACCACTGAGCTACAATCCCAGCCTTAAAATTCTGATCTTTATGAAATCTTAAGCTAGATTCTTAGGCTACCTAAGCCTCAGAGTCACCAACCTCAAATTAGAAGTAAAATATAGCTGACTATGGAGATGAAGTACCTGACCCATATATTTTGCGCACTAAGGAAACAGCAGTTTCCTTCTCTTGCTTCTTTTAGGTGACTCTGGCGCCAGCTGGCGGACCAATGAGTGATGGCATCCCTGATACAAGACCGTGAGTACCCTTTCAGAAGAGGGCTTAGGAAGAAGCCCAGAAAAGGAAAGGAGACCTGACCCCTGTTCTAGAGCTCCTTCTGGGCCCTCTTCTCTCTCCACTGGCTATCTCTCCCTGCTTTTCTTGTCCCAGGACTGACCACTGATCAGGACCTGCTGCAAATGCAAGAAGGCACACTGATGCGGAAGGTGAGATCGAAAAGCTGGAAGAAGCCAAGATACTTCAGACTTCAGAATGATGGCATGACAGTCTGGCATGCTCGTCAGGCTAGGGGCAGTGAAAAGCCCACCTGTGAGTGACCTGGATAGCTGTGGGTGGGCACAAGGGTGGAAGGTCCCAGAGGAACATGGCAGCCTGAGGGGAGGGGAGATACCAGAGTCTTACAATAGTATGTCCTTGTGCTGTCTCACTATGGCTGTATCTGAGCCTGTGCAAGGAGATCATAGATAATATTTGCTCCTGTAAGGCTGTTATGAAGGATTAAATTAGTTTTTGCAGGGCTAGGATTGTGGCTCAGGGGCAGAGCGCTTGACTCACATGTATAAGGCACTGGGTTCTATTCTCAGCACCACATAAAAATAAATAAATAAAGGTATTGGGTCCATCTACAACTAAAAAAAATATTTTTAAAAAAATTAATATTGCATATAAAGGACTTGAAAGAGTCTTGGCACACTAAGTAAGATTCAATAAGTCATAGGCTATATCTTTTTTATTATTGTTATTATAAGACCATGACCTTAGGTATCAGCCTGCCTGAATTAAAATCCTAGCTCTTCTACTTTCTAGAGGAGTGGCTTTTGACAACTTACTTAATTAAACTGAGCTTCTGTTTCTCATCTGTAAAATGAGTATTAAGCAATACCTGCCCACAGGTGCAGTGGTACACACCTATAATCCCAGTGGTTTAGGAGGCTCAAACAGGAGGATCATTAGTTCAAAGTCAGCCTCAGCGAGGCCCTAAAAAAACTCTGTGAAATTCTTTCTCTAAATAAAATATATAAGGGGGCTGGGCGAGCCAGAGTTTTGGGCTCAGTAGTAGAGCGCTTGCCTAGCATGCAGGAGGTACTGGGTTCGATCCCTGGCACCACATAAAAAGTAAACAAATAAAATAAAGGTATTCTGTTCATCTACAATAAAAAAAATAAAAAAAATAAAAAAGGGGGGCTGGGGATGTGGCTCAGTAGTTAAGTGACCCTGGTTCGATCTCCCGTACAAAAAAAAACAGTACCTACCTACTAGGTTACAGAGACTCAATGAGTTGATTTGTAAAGCACATACCTAGCACAGGATCTGAAACCAGGATGCATTTAATAAGTGTTAGCCATTATGGTATTTTTTAAAAAATATTTTTATTAGTTGTTCATGGACTATTTTTTTACAGAGAATTTTAATATATATATTTTAGTTTTCGGCGCACACAACATCTTTGTTTTGTATGTGGTGCTGAGGATCGAACCCAGGCCGCCCGCATGCCAGGCAAGCGCACTACCGCTTGAGCCACATCCCCAGCTCATGTTCATGGACTTTTATTTTATTTACTTAATTATATGCGTTGCTGAGAATCAAACCCAGTGCCTCACACATGCTAGACAAGTGCTCTACCACTTAGCCACAACCCCAGCTCCATTATGGTACTTTTTAGTATCTATTTATTTATTTGTTTATTTTTAAATATTTATTTTGTAGTTGTAGTTGAATACAATACCTTTATTTATTTATCTTTATGTAGTGCTGAGGATCAAACCCAGGACCTCACACGTGCCAGGCGAGCACTCAGACCACTGAGCCACAATCCCAGCCCCAGTATTTATTTTTTAGTTGTAGTTGGAAATAATACCTTTGTTTCACTTATTCATTTTTATGTGGTGCTGAGGATCGAACCTAGGGTCTCACACATGTGAGGCAAGCGCTCTACCTCTGAGCCACAATGCCCCCATTATGTATTTTTAAAACATAAAAAAAACATATCAAATTTGGATGTGGTGGGGCACACCTATAATCCTACCTACTCAGGGGGCTGAGACAGAAGGATCACAAGTTCAAGGCTAGTCTGAGCAAATTGGTGAGACCCTGTCTCAAAATAAAAAAGAGAAAGCATGGAGGTATAACTCAGTGGTAGAGCACCCCTGGGATCAATCCCCAGTACTGAAGAAAAAAATAACAGTGTTCATCCTATTGGCCAAGCTCTTTGTGATACCTCTAAAAAAAGAAAAACAATATTTTCTTTTTTTAGAAAATCCCTTTTACCAGGGATTGACCCCAAAGTCACTTAATCACTGATCTACATTCCTAGCCCTTTTTTTAAAAACATATTTTATTTTATTTTTTTAAAGAGAGAGTTAGAGAGAGAGAAAGAGAGAGTTTTTTAATATTTATTTTTTAGTTTTCGGCGAACACAACATCTTTGTTTGTATGTGGTGCCGAGAATCGAACCTGGGCCGCACGCATGCCAGGCGAGCACGCTACCGCTTGAGCCACATCCCCAGCCCCACCTAGTCCTTTTTATTTTATTTTATTTTATTTTGTTGTTGTTGTTGTTTTAAGTCAGGGTCTTACTAGATGGCTTACAACCTCACTAAGTTGCTAACGCTGGCTTTGAATCTGTGATCCTCCTGCCTCAGCCTCCTGAGCTGCTGAGATTATAGGCATGCACCACTGCACCTGGCATATCACTACAAATTTGATCACAGGATACATTTAAGAGAGTCTGCTTTAGAGACATAATTAAAGTTCACAGTCCTCACCACCCCTTCCATAAAAGGAGTGGAAGAATTTTTTTTTTTTACTCTCTCCAGACATCTGGAAAGAAGAAACCCTCAAATCTGAATGTGAGCATGAGCTGCTTTGTTGTAATTGCTTTTCAGCGTGTTCTCGTTTATCATTCCTGCCAGTCCTCCTATGATCACTATTTAGACTGACCATGGAAAGGAATATTCTTACTTAAGATGAGGACACTGAAGAATTAAGTTGTTTTGATCTGTGTCACTCTGCTAACTTTGTGACTGGAAATTATGTCTTGCTGTCCATAGCACAGGTCCCTTGCCCAGCTGCCTATAGAAACTGCAGTGATTCACATGGGCCCTGGAACCCTACTATGTCTCTCTGTACTACACCTTTTGGGACTCAGTCTGCAGAGACTGGAGTTCCTCCTTTCTATGTTTTCATGAAGAAGTAGGCACTGGTCCTTGCCCCTAAGCCCCTACAATTTGTTGGACCCCTTTCTCAGTGCTCCCACCTGCTTCTTTGGCAGTCTCAATCTCCGATGTGGAGACAGTGCGTAAAGGTCATGATTCTGAGTTGCTGCGCAGCCTGGCAGATGAGTTCCCCCTGGAGCAGGGCTTCACCATTGTCTTCCATGGCCGCCGTCCCAACCTGGATCTGATTGCCAACAGTGTTGAGGAGGCCCAGAACTGGATGCGAGGACTCCAGCTTTTGGTGGACCTTGTTACCAGCATGGACCAAAAGGAGCGGCTGGACCAGTATCAACAAGTTGGAGTCAGGGTGGGGACTGGGAATGACTGAAGAAGCCAGATATTACAGAGCTAGGGAAGATGGGAAGGGGTGAGGGATAGGAAAGCTAAAGGGTCCAGATTATATGGGCTGAGACATCTTTTTTTTTTTTTTTTTT